GATCGATAGCGGAGGTACCCGTGTATTACGTAAGCGAAATTGTCGAAAGCCAGCAAGCTCGCTCGTGACCCAGGCTTTGACCTTGGCCTGCATTCGAGACCGCTGCTGCAGATGCACCAACACGTCGGTTACACTGTGTCGCGCATCTGTGTCCGATCGTTGTGTGCGCGTTATTTGTCGGAAAGATGTGGGCTACCGCGCGTTTCAAAACTTGATGATTTCGTCCGATGATTTCGTAGGCAAGGTATTTATTATTGACAAGTTTTTATTCCTTTTTCCTTTTATTATTCTACTTCGTGCAATTTGAGAATGACTTGAATCGCGTGTATATAATAAATGATTTCGTAGATTGCAATATTTTTTTTTATACGGATATTTCTATTGCCAACAGAGACGTCTTCGTACAGTCAATTTTAAATTCTTTAATAATTATTATTAATTAATTACGTTTAGCCTTCTTTTTTTTACGTTTCTTTGAAGTTACGTTTAGTTCGTTAAAAAATTTTCAAGAACGAAAACTCCTATTTCTGAAAACTCCTGTATATCGAAACGCGAGAAGAATAGAGAGTTTTTCTAAGTTTACGTGTACGAGTTGTGCGTGTGTGTGTGTGTGTGTGTATGAGTGTTGAAGCACACGTGCGTCCCGTTCGTGGCTGAACAACTGCATCCGTGCCAAGAATTCGCTTCTGCTTTACCCCTTTCGAGGCAGGGGGTGAGGGTGACCCCCTGCACAGCACTTCTTTCACAACTACCGTGCGCAAACCTGTGGATATATTCTCAACGCGGGTAGAAAGTTTCCGAGCTGCGGTTTAAACAAACGTTCCCTAAATATCAATAATACAACACAACGATTCTCTCATCCAAACAATCGCGTTGATAATCTCACACGTTTGTATACACACGTTTGAACGTTACACAGAGCGATTTGCTTGCCACTGAATTCCGATCACAGGTTCTTAAAACATAATCGCACAAACAAACGTTTTTTGTGTACGATAATCCGGTCGATGAAGAGGGCTGATATCATCGTTATCGATAATAATTAATGTTGCACAACAGAGATAACAGTAATATTTGTACGTATGCTAAAAAAATTGCACACGAATGTGCATAGTTGGTGTTAGATGGCAGCACAGGTCCGGTAAAAAAAAAACGGAGGGCATGATCGGTGCGACGAGAAAAATGTAGATGTCGTATTCAGAAATTTCATCGCTCTTATTCCATCACTTATGGACGTATCCTCGCGAATATTATGAACTTCGATTGGAAAAATAAAAGATTTCCTTGTGAAAAACCCATCCTCCGGAAACTGGAGTACAATTACACAGTGATTTACGATTCCCTTTAAATCCTCCCTGTGCTTGTTTCGCAAAGAGAAAAATGCATGAAAGGAAAACGATGGAAAATCCGTGCAACATCAAACGGCATATGCGATCGGTTGCGACACGCGCGGAGCTCCAGGTGCATCGAGAATTTATTGCGCGTTTAATGAGCGCGTCAAATCCTTCCGTAGAGATAGATATACGAGGATTAGAAAATCATAATTCTCGGCGATTAAACACGAGATGTTTACGGAAAGGATCTCTCCCTCGTATAATCTTAATAACGAACTTTCGTTTCGCCCAATAGTCGAGCGTAATTAATTCCCGCAGGGGGAGAAATTAAACTAATCCACCCTTGCTCCTCTCACGGCAAAAACATTTGCTCGACAATTTCGAAACGTTAGACGAAATCCCTGCCTGCGTGCATGCGGGGCTAAATGAAATTCGAATGAAACGCCGAACCATCACTCCTGGGGCGCGCGAGAAACTCGCGCGAGAGCCATTATTTCCCTTTGAATCCTGCACAATCCTCGGTGAAAACCGGTGAGCTCGGTTGCCAGAAATTTTGATGTCGGAGTTAAGTTTATTATTTTAAAACAGCGAGAGAATTTATCGTGGTTGGATAATAGTTAATGCTTTTAACGATGGAATTGTGATTTTACCATATTTGGAAAGGATTATTGTGAATTATTCCTGATCGAAGGATAAATATACGTTTCAGTTGAAATTGTGAAATTATTATTGCATCCATTCGGGTAACGTTTAAATACGTAGATTATAATAATTTGAAAATTGAAGAGAAATCTTGAGAAGCATCGTTCTTAATCGGTTCCAGCGTTAATAGGGGATGACTTCGTTTATTATCGTAGGGAACCGAATTTATAGCACGATCGATTCGATTTTACTTCTCGTTGTTCCGCGTTCCTTGATTGTTTTTCGGTAATTCGAGGCAAGACTGGGAAAATACGAGTTGCATCAAGAAGAAAAACAAACGGCGCCAATGGGGGGGGAACGATTCGATAAACGCAAAGGGAGAAAGCGGTACGTTAGATTGATATTTACCCGAGTCTGTAGCAACAATTCCGGTGTCGTTTAAACATCGATTAACTCCATCAACACGAAAGAAACTTTTAGAAACATCTTTTATTTATAGTCCATTCCATCCCAAAGATTTCCTTTCCGTATCCCTTTTGTAATAGGTAGATAAATATTGTAGTTGGCTACAAGGCAGACAACCGATGTTTGACAAATATCCACTACAAAGAGACTACAAACTATTGTACAACTTGTCTCGTTTATTTATTAAGAAAATTAATCAATAGGAATATTATCGAGTTGGCACGCTTTGAAATTTTCACGGCGAATATTTATTTTCAAATTGCTTGGACTTTGAACTTTCAATGCATATCATCTCAAGAGCTCCCCCCAAAATATTCTACATAAAATACAAAATCTTCTCACGAATTTCTTTCGCAAACATCTCGCTCGTCGTTTTCCAATTTATTCACCGACATTCACCAACTTCTAAAAAAAAAAAAAGCGCAAATTCATCGCCTCGTTTCTCGCCACGGCAAAACAATCCCATTTCCTGCTCCGAGAGAAATCATCTCTTACAATTCTCTCGAAGAAGAAAGGGGAGGCTGCTCGAACTTTCAGCGAACTAAGTCGAGTGCTAAATAATTATCCTAATTCCGCCTAAGGTGTGCGCGACTCCCCATTTTGGCCAGCGCAGGGATAAATTACCATCCTGGCGTAATGGTTCCGGCTAATTTACGAACGTGGAAATTAAAGTTTTTTTCATAGATCTCCGTCGTAATAACTCGCCGTCCATACACCACCCTCCACGCCATTTTTTCTTCAATCTATTTTCAAGAATCCGATTCTTCGAACGGGAAGAGGCTCGAAACTTTAACGAAGGAAGGAACTAATCGCACTTTCGATTACTGTGCCGTTAAATATTGCCATCGATTGAATATTTCATCAAGCGAGGAACTTTCATCAGACGACTCTGAACCGTCTTCGACGAGAGACACTCGTATCCTTATAAATATTTTCTTCGATGAAGTGGTCAGAAAGGAAGAGCGAATTTATCTTATTGCGCGGTTTGAATCGATATATTGTGTTGAATCTAAAATCTGTTCCAAATCTAATTTAAAAATCGTCTGCCAAAGTTTTCATACACTTATTTTAAATATTGGAACAATTTTATTTTTGCAGAGTGCAATGGATCATGGAGGAATATTTTTATATCAACAGAAGGAGTAAAACTTTAAATATACAAAATATTTCAAAGCTCCTTCCGTACCTATATATATATATATATATATAAGTATCGTTGAAACCATGATTGGATGAATTTATCATATCATAACTTTCGTGAATTATACGCCAAAATGTGTCAATCCAAATACAATTCAATTACGAATTCATAAACGAAATCCACTTAAATGCTCGACGATTGTACACGGGAAAGACAGAAGTGTAGGAGAAGCAAGTGGATCATTGAATCAGAGATTCCTGGCGGGTGTATAACCAGTGTCCAGACCAATTCTGTCTCTGGCAATAGGGTCAGATTCGATAAGCCCTTAATCCATTGGCAATTAATCCACACAGTGGGCAACGCAACCCCTACAGTTAGCGCCATCTACGTGTAAACGATCGTTGTCTCTGTCTGCCTTCCAGCCGATCCCTCGCGTATTCCTCTTTGTCGCTCGTTAATTCAACAGCCTCTGTGACCATATAATTAGCCGATGGCCCGTGGCATGTTTGTGCACGGTGATTGTGACGGTAATAAACGATTCTTTGGATCGATTTATATCCAAAGAAGCGAGGAATTGAAGAAATTTTGATAAGAACATCGATTAAAAAATATTCTTCCTTGCAAAAAACAGAGGCACGTGAAAATAATAAAATATTGTCTCCTTTTTTTTTTCGTTAATACTGCCAATTCTTTCTTAAAAGGATGGTTTAATACAATAAGTTTAAATTAAACACAGTGTCATTTCAGTAATGCGACAAACACGTTCATACATTTGCTACGTTTTCTGTTACTCTATAATATTTCGTTTATTAGCACTACGAGCAATTGCATAATTGCTCGTTGATTAAATAAATAAACAAATATTTAGTCCCGGTACCGCTATCCATTAACAGTCCACCTGTACTAGATCGATTGATTTTCTACTAGTTTCATTTCATAGTATCAACAAGATTCGAATAATATTTAAAATTTAACGAAAGTTAAGCCGATTTCTGATCATTCGATATTAAAACAAGGAGCGATAATTAATTTTCAACACAGATATAACGCTATTATTAACGTGTGAACAATTACATTCTTGAAAGCAACACGCATCTTTTCATATTATTTAAAAATTTAACGATGAAACTAAAAAAAAAAAAAAAGAACATCACGCGACTTTTGGATGATTCGTTTCAAAAAGAAGCGTACGTGACATTCTTTTCATGGTTTCTTATTTTTCGAAGCGAACGGAAGAGTTTCCGCGGGGGGGAGGAAAGGCGACAAAGAGATCATGGCGTACAGAGAGAGAGAGAGAGAGGGAGGGAATGGTTCGAGAACAATTGGATGGAGGAAGAGATTTGAAACGAGAGCAGCACGGGAGAGGGCCCCGGTACTTTGGTCGTAAAGAAAGGAAAGCATACTTTGAAAGAACTCACCGTGATACGTCCTCCTGAGAAACTGCTCGTGGCGTGGCCGCTCCATGGAGAGCAAGAGAAGACGCGTGACGTGATTCTTGTGAATACGGCAGCGTCGAGTTGTTCTCCAGCGCTGACACGGAACCATTTTGTTTTCCTGTTTACGAGAGAAATGGAATGAAAAAGGGGGTATAGGTAATCCTGAGGATAATTTTGCTAACTTAGTTCTTTGAAAAAGAAGTGTGAACGATGGAACAAATTGAGGATAGAAGGGGTACAAATTGAATTTTTGTTTTTAATTATGGCGAAAGCGATGTAATGTAGATGTAAAAAAGAATCCTGCATTCTTTGGTGCAGATCCCCTTTAAAAAAATTCATCGAAAATTGAAACAAAGAATTATCGACTGTTTTAAATATAAATTTTTTACACTATGTATATAAAGATATCATAAATGATATTTTTGGTTGGCAAGTGATTAATACGCAGGAAATTAAAGTTATCAGCATCATAAATCTTGAGCAAAGATAACACGTATATAGAAGTTGGATTGAAACATAACTCAATAAAATAAAAACATATTGCTTCCGCAATTTTTTACCGTATTCGAAGTATTTCACAGTGAGACGTAGGAGAGTTTACGAGCTCAACTTTATGAGCATCGTGAATAAGTTACGCTCGAAGATCGTTGATGTGGACAGGATAGCTGGAGGGATCGAAAATTCACTTGGAGGGAGAGAATGGAAGAAAAACCAGGTAATCCACGTGTTTCTCATTCACACAAGTTGAGAATTTATGGAAGTGGATATTATGTGAAAAATTGTTGAGGAATCGATCGACGTGAGTATTATATCCTTAGATACACCAAAGAATTATTCGTTTCGATAATTATTAATCGATTGAGAAATTTTTCTATGGAACAAAAAATTAATAAAAAAATAATTGCACGGAAATTATTACACATACATCTGTAAATATATATAACGTTATAATTGCTTTTACAGTTATATCGTGGAATGTTATGGGTGATGTAAACATTGTCGTCAATCCAAAATATCGATTTAACGGAGTCGTTTTCGGGACACGGAGCGGAACGGACGTGTTGCTTTTCGCTCCTCGTAAGAATATTTTATTATTTTATTATAAATTCATTAATTTTATAAATAATTGATTGATCATCGTGATTGTAAATAAAAATATATTATGGAAGAACCGAAGTGTCAAACCGATAATGCAACAATATTATTATACATAATTTATTTCGTATTTTTCCAGCCGAATTGCGAGTACACGTTTTATGTAAAAAAAATTTGTTTACCCATTGTACAAAGATTATAGACAAAATATTAAATACAGTTTGAATATTTATGTGGAAACAAAATCTTATTTTAAAATAACAATTTACGTATAATATTTTTAAATAACAATTTTTATGGATTGAAAAACATCGTGTAAATACAGATAAATAAGAAAAAAAACTTTTCATATTTCTTAATGAAGAATCTGCTTTGTATTATTTATATTCAAATTATATTCAATATTTGCTTACATTATCTTTGTAACAAAGGGTTTATAAACAAATTTTGAATAAAATGAATAATAGGAAATGTATAATATATTATAGTCGAGAAATATTATCTTAACATCATCAGAGAGTATTAACTTATCTACTTTATATTCCAAATCGACTTTGCACTACGGGCTACTGAACTGAATTTACACGTACTGTAAATTTCACATAGCTTTCGTAACTTGCACTCCACTTCCATCTTCATCATAATGCGCGGTATGGATACGTGTGTAATAAAATAAATTCGTTTTTTACAATTTCTAGAAAAGCACACTTCCACGCGTAATATCTCAAATAAATTGTTACCTCGAGAAAATATATATATATATACGCGGGGAAATTTATTTTATAAATCAACATTTTTCCCAAATTTTCAACTTTTACATAACGCATCTTTTCTATTCTCTTTCTTTTATCTAATTCAATCCGTCTTATTTCTTTATTTACCTTCATTTTAATCCACTTAACTTTTTACAACAACACTTAAAAAAATAGTGCTTGAAGAGGATCAATCGCAAATCATCAAAATTAACGTACAACAAAAATCACCAATCGAAAAAAGTTTCACAATTTTTCCAAAATTCTCACGTTAGAATCTAAACGAGGAAAATCATCGAAAAAGCAGCGTATCCGTTCTGCGAAAAAAAGAATTTCGTCAATGGAGAGAGAACCTCCACCTCCGTGGTGGGAGAAAAGTGACGCTTTTTTCGCGCTGCGTTGAAATATTCATTCGTTTTTTCCGGGGCATGGAAATTCGGGGAGAAAAGGCGTGGATCCACGATATAAGGAGGGGAGAGTCGTGGATGGTGAATAATATATGTTTGAATGGAATTGCAGGGCTTACGTGGTTGCGGCGAGAGTGAATTGTCCGAGGCTATTGGGGGTGGTGGCGGCGGCACGATTCCGGTTCCGGTTTCGCCACGAGAAGGACCACGCGATCCTGGGTCGCCTTGAGCGTCGCCACCGCTTCCTCGTGCGTCACGTTCTCCAGGTTCTTGTCGCCCTGCTGGAATCAAAGGAATCCTCTTTTTATCTGTCGAGCCGGCTCCACGATACTACGCTGCACACACGCGAGCCACAACTCGATACCGTTGAAATGCAATTTAATTTTATCGGGGCTCGCCTTGGGGCTAGCTTTCTTCTCTTTCTTTGGTTTCCGTGTTTGATGACCGGTGTGGGTTTAAGAAATTAGGGTCAATCACAATGAACGTCGCACGATCGTTCGCACGAGAAAGATACCTTCACGGTTTTGTAATTCGAAATTTCGTTTTATCTTACTTTTGTTTTCGATAAAACTGTTAATGGATTTGGTTATTAAGGGTTATTAAATAAGGGTTAGAGTGATTCTAAGGAAAAAAGAAAAAAAAGGAGAATTTTCAATTTTCAAAAGATGATTTTGTTCCATCATTTTTCCCCACTTTTTCGTGAATATATAGATATCGAAAGCTAAACTAAGTAAAGCAGCTTGTCAACAAAACAGATATTTTTTAGAGTTTCGAGAATTACAAAGTCTCGCGAATAAATTAATCGTTTAAAAATAAAAGCGAATAATAATTCAAGCTCGACGAATGCAATGAACTCTATCGTTTTTCGATTTTTCTTCGTTAACATCGATCCATTTCCTAACGCATTCCTTTTTATCGTTTCATTTTTAACATTAATCCTTCTGTTTCAGTTTTCCACGACGAAAATGGATAATCGATGGACCAAGAAAAAAGTCGTTTCCTTTTTGGAATATCGATCAAGATATTTCAATAACGATAATCGATTTTCTATTCAATTTCTCCTGCCAATCATCGTTTACACTGCCTTTTTACACCTTGAAATGGATTATCGAACAAATATCGCGAGAGTTGTGCATTTTTTTAACTCGTCACTTATTAAGGGATGAAGATACAGGTTTTAGAGTGTGAAACGTCGTCAATGTTACCTTCTGTTTCATTCGTAAGCAGAGAAGGATAAAAATAGAGGGATTAAAATTTTATTTTATTTCGTGTATTCAGTTTATAAGATATTCTGTAAAAGATAACAGGGAGGAGAATTAATATGGAAAATTAGAAGATAAATAATATCCAAACAAACAACGAGAATAAATTTTTCAAACGATCTTTTTATTTCTCTGCTTTTTGTTGCGTGTTTCTTTTTTTTATTTATACATTTTTACAATAAAAGTTTGTTCATATGTGAATCGAAAATTTGATTGCTATTTTAATAAAAAAAATATTTCACATATACATTGTTTCAAAATGTAATAATGTAGATATTAAATATTACTTTCACATTATTCTTTAACAAGCAAAAATTTTAAAATGCGAAGGATTTAGCCTTCTCTCGCTTAATTGTAAAAAAAGAAATTCTCAAAAGATGAAAGAGCGCTGAAACTTTAAGAGTTGATCTTATCCCCTCAAAAAAAGGAAAAGAAAATTGCTCCATTTATAAGCCGCTGTCCTCTACGAAGTTTCCATTAAAATTTGAATTAGATAGTTTTTCTCTGTAAACGGAGTTGGTCGAAAAACAAAGTTTTCGACTGAAAAATAGAATAATTATACACGAAGACACGATACATGGTACAAAGAAAAATGGAGTCCACAGTATTGAAGTTTGCTGGACGTGTCATAAACAAGTGATGAACTTTCTGCGCTGTTCCTTGTTCAAATGTATGCGCAATCACGCGCTAAGTTAAATCGACTTGCGATCCATTCTGCGCTGCGAAAACTTTGGAATAAATCGAAACGAGTCGAAGGAAACTCGATCTATTCACGACGGGCCTTGTCGGTTATTTCTTTTTCTTTTTCTAAACAGTTTATCGCAACTTTGTCGCCGTTGTGAGAGGCGCAACAAGGATAAATCCAAGACTGGCGATAAGCGATTTCACGAAATGGTTTGATAATCGTCACGATTTTCTTCATCCATTCGAAATGGAGATCAAAGGTGGCCGGAATTTTTAAGACCCTGTTTTTCACGATTCACGAATCAACGAGGCCGGGTGTAACCGCTTTAATCGCAGCTTTTTCGACCACTCGCGAGGGAAGCTCGCGAGGAAAAGAGAGCTCGTCGACGCGAAAAATCGCGAACGAGGGCACTCGCAACCGTTGCAACGAGCCGTGCATCGTTGATGGAACACCTATCAATTACTCGTCGCACATCAAAAACCACTCTGATCTATTTTTCACGTGGTCCTCCCTTGTCCTCTCTCTTGGTGGACAAGCAAGATGGATTTTTCTGAATTTCGATCGACTAAAAACTCGTTTCGATCCGAAAATTCAATTGTCCGAAAGTGAATTTATGAGACAGAGGGCAGATTTATCGAATTTTATCAATTTTTTGAAAAATCTTCGGAGGATCTCCTCCTCCTCGAAACGTTTTCGAGGGGATTTTGTTATTTTTGTTAGTGGAGATAAAGTTGGAGACGAAGTTGGATAAATCGAGCTCTGGCTACGCGAAAAATTACGCGATTACGTTTCTTACGCTCGAGTGAAGAAGTGTATTTCTTCTTTGTTCCCGGCAAACCTATTTTGCATGAGGAATTCTCTAATCAAGAGCACGGTTCTTCTTCCGGCCGGACCTGAATGGTAAAAACCGTGAGATCATCAATCAAGATTGTAAGAGTATAAATGGCACTCTAACTACGATTGATCTCGAGCTACCACTCACTCTGAGTATTTTATACAACATCTTACAGCCTTTTATAATTTAATTTTTATTGAAAAAAATGTCTAATCTGGAATAGTTTCGAAATTGTACATGATACACGTTATCACAGAAGAATTAACTTGATTCTAAGGAATTTTAAAATAAATTTTCTACGCATCTCGAGATAATAAACGCGTTGCGTAATGCACGAACTCGAAAATGGCTAATTATTAATTCACGGAACAGGAGGATAATTTTTTATTATTACCAGGAAACAACGAGAAAGAGAGAAGATGGAAGACGGAAGAAGTATAATTTTTAAACTCACCAGAGCATTTCTGACGGCCACCAATTTGTCCCCAACGACAAGACGGCCATCCACTTGTGCGGCACCGCCTCCATAATTTTCGTTACGTAGATCCCATTGTCGCCAGGTATATGCTGATTGCCGATACCACCGGCGATACTGAAACCGAGTCCCTTGTTACCCTTAATTAGCTCGATTTCGATCAGCTGCGTGTGTCTCCGTCGGCGTACGTACTGGAAATTAATTGAAACAGCCTCTTACATCATCGTGGATGGGTATCGTGAGAGCAAAACATTTTCTACAAGCGAAATATTATTTTCGAAACGCGCTTTTTCTCTTAAAAGTTGAGCAAATACCTGCAAATTTGACTCTCAAATATCTCGATTCAAATTTGGACAACGAGGAATTAATTTTCCCCGATTTTAGAATAAACACGAAATTTGGAACGAACGAAATGGTTCGATTCAAATGGTTGCTGCGAAATTGACAATAAAAATAGATCGGTTCATCTCAAATCTATCCATCATCCACGGAAAACTCGATTGGATCGAGACAAGTAGTTTAGAGAATCGTTAAAACAACGCGGGCTACCATTAAATTTCGAGAAATTAAATGGAGCGGCAGTGGGGATAATTAAGATTTCACTTTCACGGCGGGGCTCCGTTTACAGCGGTGCAAGCCGAGACGACATAAATTTAATTAAAATCGGCCCTGTATACGCAGTTAAAATTTCACTTTAACCTTAAGCCTCCTGTTGAGGGCCGCTTCGAGGATATTATATCTCGGCCCGTAAACGCTTTTATGCGTGCCTATTTTTTGGCCAAATGCTCAATACAACGCAGGTGCGAGAGAATTGCGGGCTTGAAAAAGCGAATTTCTTTCGAATGCGCACATACTATACTCATTCTTTTCTTTCGTTTTTCTTTCAGGATCGTTCGGAGTGTCGCATCTCTCTTAGGAACATATCGCGAGTATTACGAATTTTGTTTCACAAAAGGGTTGGAGATGCTCTTCAGAAAGGTTTTCAAGATATACAGCGATTATTCCGTGTCCAGCTTGCCAGATAATAATTGGAAAAACGAGTTCTTTTTCGACTAGACGCGACGATTCGTCGATTTTAATGAATTTAAAAATAGGTGGAGATAATAATTCAAGTCGGAGCTATGGAAATTTTATACGATAAAATGAAGTTATACACCGATGGAAGTATATGGATTTAAATTTCATTTCGATTAGTAATCGAGATTATGGAACTTTAAACTGATTTTAACATTGATTGAAACATGGATCGAAGTGTATTTTCAAGTGCGTTATATAACGGAGAAATGGAACCTGATTTGACAATCAACGAATCGAACGTTATTGGTGGTAAAAGTCGTTGGTCGTAAAAAAATTTTCAAATCCAACGTGCATAATTTCATGGAATTTCTACTCGTTGTCAAATAACCGATGATATGTCGCTCTCATACATCCAATCATTTTTGAACGTATACAATGTTCCATTAGACGATTGGTTACAGGACAGGCAGATTATTCTTACGACAAACGTATATTTTTCTTCTCTTGGAAAATCTTAAGGAAAAAGATACTTGTCGAAATCTTGGGATACAAATCTGTGTTTAAGGAATTCTGTGCCATGCATAAACGATCCAGGTTGGAGAGGAAACAGAGTGAATAAAAGAGAGAGAAAAAAACTAGGAAACTCACTAGTTTAACGGTGTTCCCCGCCCGTTTGAGCGCGTCGACGGCAGCCGCGTGTGGCACGTCGACCACGGAAACGTCGTTCACCTGGAGTATCGTGTCGTTGACGCGTAAACGGCCGTCAGCGGACGCGGCACCGCCGGGTATAAGTTTCGTGATGTAAATGGCAGTGTCGTTGCCGAAGTGTGGATTGTCCGTGCCCCCAGCGATGCTGAACCAAGCCCGGCGCCACCCCTCTCGAGCACGATCTCCTCGTACTCCCAGTCATCGTCTCCGTTCACCTGCTCGTCAAATCATTTTTTTCAAACATTAAGAAGAAATAACATCCGTGGATATTTAATTTGATTTGTTAAAAGTATGACAACTTGATCGATTCTACGATGTTTTAAAAGATTAAAAAAAAAAGAAGTAAAAAAGGGGGGACGAATTGGATCTAATTTTCAGATGAATAATGGACGATCGAAAATCGTTGCGATATCCGCTCGAGTATCATATCTACAGTTATATAAATTATTAACCTGTGCGAATCGCAATGTAAATACATCGATCTTGTCGCGATATTCTTCGACATGATAAAAATGATCCAGATAGATCGTTATCGTGGAAAACGAACGTGGTATTGCATAAGGTAATCCGGTCAATTCCTAATTACACGACTAGGGACTAAGCTTCCTCCCCCGGAACGAAGGAGTTAATTGATTTCGAGACCCGCAGAGGAGTAGATTAGGGCTCGAATCCTAGATCGATTGTGGCGGGTTATATATGTTCGCAGTTATTGCTGGAATACCGATATCGATTATACCATAATCGGTCGTAATTGTGAGATTATCGCGGAACAAGATTGATCAAGTAGCGCTTCCCGTTTAACTCGATTGTATCTCATTTCTCCTCTCCTCTTCTCTGATAATCAAATTTTCTTGATTACAACAAAAGTACAATAATCGTTCCTTACGATTAAAAAAAAAAAAAAAACAAATACGTTATATCACAGCGCGCAACTTATAAAAGACATTACACATTATTTTTACAATTAATCATTGTAATCGATCGATAAATTTTCACTTTAATGTATCAAAGAATCTATATAATTCAAACAACCGACGACTGTGACGACTGCGTGCATGCCAATTCCAAAGAACGCTTTATCAAAAACTTATCGATCAGTCAGAGTAAAAAAAAGTTTATCGATTCCATCGATGGATAGATATAGCCAGATAGGGAATCGATCCAGGGAATCTTCGAGTCAACAAGCGTCGAACGCGGCGCCAGTTGGTTGGTGCATCGCGATGGCCCACGTGCCGAACACACGATAGATTTGGCGGATGCATATTGCCCGCGGAATCGTGAATTAATCGTGGCTGAATTACCATTCTATGGGGCCGACACGGACAGATGGAGCGGCGGCTCGTTACCGGAAGTCCTCGTTACACCGCAGAGTAACAGACTTCGATCCGGCACGCTCGACGCAATTACGGTAGCTGACTGTCGACCGGCTAATCGACGATTAGCCAACCGCTAGTCGAGGTGAATGGCATCCATAATTAATCCGAGTGCGTTGGAAGAAGATCGGTGCCGCCTGGGAGGCGGTGATGGCGCGATGGTGCGCGATAATACGGTGAAATATCGTCGCACACCTGGCGCGACGTCTGACGTGCGTGAAACGACGGATCAGGGAAGTGACGTTGGAATGGAAGCGCGCCCCACCAACTATTATTTTATTACTTGTTTCACTTTGCACGCGCGCGTGTTAATTCGTTAGACTTGGTAAACTGGTGCATTCGTCGTGCGAATATCTGGTGGAATTTAAACTTGTACTCGTTCGTTTTGGGAAGCGTTAAAAGCGCAAAGTTAAGAGAGAGAGAGACTGCTGTTAATAAACGGCTTGCTACATGATATAATATAATATACGTATAATATCAAGATCAAACGTGTACGGATAGAAAATTTGGGAATTTCGAATTGAAGAAAATTGTCGATTTACCATTTTATATGATCCGTTCACCGTTGTGCTCGTCATCGTGCGTGTCGATCCAACGTGATTGGCAACATTTTTCAAAACACCACCAAACCAAGAACAACGTCCCAAAGTTTATAGACCATCGAATCTGATACAACTTTTTTACTCCACATTCGCTCGAATCCGCTCGTATATATATCGGATATATATCGATACCAGATATCGCCACGTTGTATTTTTATCGCGCTTTAACAAATTTCGTTCGCGCCGTCGAAGGCTTATACTGTTCGGAAGAAAAAAAAAAAAAAAAAAGAAGAGAGAACTCGATTTTTCGCCCGGAAAAAAAAATAAAAAAATGTCGGGCGGCGCTGTTCCCGCCCAGGGGAAAATAATGCATAAATCACGCGGATTATTTATGACGCGGCAGCAAGGCAACGTATTATCAAGTAATAATCAGTATCGGGGCGTTGCGTAATACCGTGGAAAATTCATGTTGGAAGCGGGGATTAATACGGTGTTGACGTTTGCATAAATCCTCCCAGTTACCTTAAACGTGGCGCGATACCGCGATGATCGGGATATTTTTCGGCCTGGCTATTTTCGGAAATTTGTTCAAAAATCGGTAAATTTAAAATAATAATAATAATAATAATAAGGAAAAATATAATGGAATTATATTTATTAATTTGGGATTAAGATTTTGTTTCGTTTATTAAGCAATTCTAAGAGGGAAATTTTTTAATTTAATTTCGAGAGAATTCTTCCTCTTCTTCATTTTCTTTCCGTTTTTTACAATTCTATAAATGAATGCGATCGTACAACAAGTTACTTTATTAACTTATTACTTATTAACAAGATCCTTTATTTTTTCACCATATATTTCTTCAATTATCCTTGTACACAAGGATACAAGATATTAAAATAAGAGAATACGCGAGTGTAGAATATTATACACAAAGCGGGAAGGAAACGACAACGTGGATCGTCACGGTTAAATCAAAATAAACATCGGAGTCGTTTTCGGGACACGGAGCAATACGGACGCGTTCTCTCCGCTCCTCGCGACAATTAATTTCGCCTCAATAATTATACAATTATCGAGTTCTATCAATCACTGTTCTAAGTAAAAAAAAGCACGGAATGCTAACAAAGAAGAAAAAGAAAAAAAGGACGAATACTCGAATCTCACAGAATCTCAAAATTCATCTTAACCAAGAATAACAACTCGATCAAACGCCAAAAGAGGATCTTAACTAACTCCACCTTACTACGGCCACCGACTGTATCAAAGAACAACAACAAGCGCCACTCGTATACGCGAAGTTTAGACCCGCACGATGAAGCGGATCCACGTGATCCCAGCGCGCACAATCGTGGAGCACCCGATCGATCGAAGGGAGCAGCACGATCCTACGAATTAGGAGAGCGGGTTTCTCCACACTTCCTCGAAGGCTGGAAAACGCGAAACTGCGACAGACCGCGGTGACGACGCGCAAGAAGGTAACGTTATCCGGTCCCGTTCTCGTTCCTCGCGGACCGTCACACGCAACGAAACCGTCCACCGTCTCGGCCGCGACTCTCGACTGCGCTCGCTCGCTCGCTCGAGCCACGCCAGTCATCGCTATTATAATATTAGACCGGTGGTCGGCTATTTCCAACCGACTGTGAAAATATACCCGCCGGCACGCGTGCAGGAGACGTATTCGATGAAACGAGCGGATCACCCGCTCGGGGAGAGATGAGAGATCGGGGAAATCGGGGATTAGATGGAAAATGGCTTTAACTCGAGCTAGCGATTTTACTTTGATCGAGTTTCGTTTGAACGATTCGAATAGAGGGATATTTTGGATCGGCACGCGCGTGGAAACGAAGGAATAAGAGAGGAAGTTGTTTCCTCGAGTACTCGCTCTCTGTGATTTTTCTGCGTTTCTGGTCTATGTTCTGGATTATGGGTTCCGGCTTTTTTTCCGGATCGGCTATTTTAAGACTAAGTTGAGCAGAGGTAAAAATAGAAGGATTGGGAATTGTGCGCCGAGGAAGTTGTTTCGCGGTGGTGATTTGTTAGCCGAGTTTGATTGGAGATTGAGATTGTTGAAGATATATAATCGTAAAAAAAAAAAAACGCGCACGAATCTAAAAATCTAAAAAGAAAAAAAAAAAAAGAAACTTTAGATATCTAAAACGTTGGTAAAAACGTTATTTTTTTGAGACGGTTTTTAAATATCCTATTACCAGGAATACAATACCTCGAATCGACGAAATGAGACGTTGCTCATTTGCGCAACTCGACGTTAACCGTAATATTCACGAGCCGAAAATATACAAGCGAGAGAATTGAATGGAAACGTTCAAGACGACTTGAACAGGATTTTGATGATCGCGCGGATTAATCGAGGCACGCCGGTAATTCAGTTAGACAGAATTCGCGGAAGTTGGACACGGGGGTGGGTCTCCACGCGCATCGCACGACGATAGACACGGTGGCCCCGGAATCTTGGCTCGAGAAGACTCCACTCGGGCCGTTCGTGTTTCGAATTAACATCGCGGCTCCGAATCCACGGCTATATTCGTTGGCCTTTGTCGGAACGCCTCGATGGAACACGGGTAAAGATAGCCGCGTCTCGTGGCAAATGCTCGTGGTTTCGGGCCGACCTTGAAAATAATTATCGACCATTGCGCGACTAGGTGCAAGCCGATTTATACGTTTCCAAAGGAGCGTGAAACGTGCCTCGATAGAGAGTGAAATTTCCTCCCGATATTGGGTTAAAATAAATTTCCTTGCTTCGAGAAAGTAAGCCTTGAAAGTAATTATATTTTTCGAAGGAACGCGAGAATGAAACTTTCTTTAAAGTCTCTACTATTCGTTTCGTGGGGTGTTTATTTTCGAAGAAATATAAAGTCCCTCTTCTTTTTCAGATAGAGATGAATTTTTATCTTTTCTTGGAAGGACAGTTTAATTTTTTTTATTCAATGGAACGGACGTTTCTCTCTCTGTTTGTTCGTTATATTAACAGTCAGGTGTTATCACGAAGTTATTTCACGATTCGAATGATGTGACAAATTCATTTCTATTACGCGAGATTCCCATTGATTTCCTTTTATTTTTCATTCGAAATCGACTTTGTTTCATTTTTAAATTTTCCAGAACATTCAGACATCAAAAATGTTTCCATTTCTTCCAAATTTCCAACGTGAAAAAACTCTACGTAGTTTATTAAAAATATTAATTTCACCATCATCGGGATATAATTAATAATCACGATCATCGAACTCGTTGCAAAACTCCGACGGAACGTTTAATTAACCCGCAGAAGCTTCTCTCCC